TGATACATACAAATATACACACACACACACACACACACACACACACACACACACACACACACACACACACACACATATATGAGACACTGAGCTGACAGAACTTCTCTTCTTAAATTACAACCAAAATTGATCCAAAAGTAAAACTATTAGTCAATTATCTAACTATTAGTCAAAAATCGCATATCGATGCGCAACAGACGGTTCTCTGAATTCTCAGTTAGATGGAATTCTCTTTCTATACCGCTACACAGTTGTTTACCAGGAAAGAGTAAAGTAATCGTCGACCAAAGTTAGTTAAATGAGGTTATCGACCTAAATAGTTCACAAGTCTTAGAGATAGAGGGGAAAGGACCTCAAAAAGACCACGTCATCGAGGGTCGAGCTTTTCCTGTGACTATCCCTTTCTTTTCATGGAATGTGTCTCGCACGCACAACCAAACTGGGTGCAGGTGGTGCTAGACGAGGAAACAGCTGTCCACAAAGCCTCCCGCCCATTCGTTCGCGTTTCCCTTTCCCTTTCCCTTTCCCTTTCCCTTTCCTTTCCCTTTCCCTTCGACGCTTGCCACGCTGAACTTCTGTCGCCTTGACGGTCCCTTTCATTTTCGTCGCTGTCGTCATCGCCTGGCATCTTGAAGATAACTACGCGATATACTTTAGCATTCGTACTTCAGCTGTCACGTATTCATATCGAGTTAATTTCGACTCAAGTGATTTTTTTCTTTCATATATATTCTGTTTTATATAAGAGTAATTTATGTCTCTTTGAATAACCCCTCTCGTGATTCGCAATCTTCGTAATTTTCGCATATTCAAAAATGTAACGTAAAAGCACTTTCATACTTTTCTTCTTATATGTCTACCAATTCAAAGAAAAATGTGGAAGAGAGTATTTTATTCTCAATGTTTTATTCTCAATTTTATTCCTGAGTTATGAATTCGCTGCAAAAAGGGTATTTAAATTTTAGATAGCTAAAAATATATTTAGCTAAAATACTTATGTATATATACCTAAGTATTTCATATTCCTCTAAATATTAAAATCTCCGGCACACGATGTTTATTTTCCTGTTGGATTGCTCGCTACTACTTTTAGTAAATTACTGAAATTGCATCACAGAGAACGCAGAATTTTTAGTAATGTACCAAAACACAAGCAGTCCAGCAGAAAAACAGGTATCGTGTACCGCAAACTTAACACTTCAATTAAAAAGTTATCGCAATGACTGGCACAGCCGGCACGGCATCGTTGAAGGCGCAGCGGGAGCCGGCCGGCCGGTCAGCCGGTCAGCTTTTGCCGGCGCGGCGCGGCGAACGGGACAGACGTAAATGAACGTTGGGAGTTAAGCGAGCTGTCGCGACACGCGCCTACGGGGGAAAGAAATGAAAAAGCTGCGTTGTACCGCCGGTGGCATCGACGGCGACGGCGGCGGCCGGCGTCGGCAGCATTCTAAATTTAGGAGGAAGTATTGATTTTACAATTTGGACCCCTCCCAAAGTAAAAAATAAACCAAGCCGAACGTACTCTACTTTGATAGAGTGCCTCTCCTCTGCGCGGCTCGTTTCGACGCACAGGCCCGTCGGAAAGAGAGAGAGAAAGAAAAAGAGGGAGACGTGAGGAACGAAACAGAGCATGAGGAGACGGAGGAGAAGGTGACGGTGGTGGAGGAGGAGGTGGTGGTGGAGGAGGAGGAGGAG